ACCAGCTGCGGAATAAGAGTATTCATTATGCAACAAAAATGCAGGATTCAATTCTGTTTTGCCCAGTGTATAAGACTATAAAATGTTCCAGCCTGATAGAAAGGCAAAGGGTATCAAAACATGGTGAAAAGCTGTAGGACCTCATTCTTGTCCCCACTGCTCCAAATTACAAGTAATGTCCAAAAATGGGGAAACTGTAATTCACCTGCAATCCATGAAAATGTCTCCACTGCTAGTGATAAATATTAAATCAAAACTGAAGTAGCTGCATTTGGTAGTCGATTCAAGAGATCTTTACTTATGCTTTAATACAGACAGAAACCTGTTACTACTTACCCAGATGTAAGAACTGCTGAGCACCTGAATGTTTATAATAATGTTTACTATTGTTTTTAATTAAATCTTTGTACAGAAGGACCCCCATACGTATCTGTAAGGGACCAATTCCACTATCCACCATAGATGCCTGAAACTGTGGATATGAAGCTCTAAATGCAAACAAGAGAGAGAGGGACAAATACTATAAGGCCTGCCTCCTCGTATGCTGTACACAGGGCGGTGGTAACCACAGAGGAGTGAAACCACGGATACCAGTCCCACAGATATGAACAAACAAGAGAGAGAGGGACAAAGACCATAAAGCCTGCCTCCTTGTATGCTGTACACAGGGAGGTGGTAACCACAGAGGAATGAAACTGTGGATACCAGTCCCACAGATATGAATGAGGGTCCTACTGTATGCATGATCTGTGTATGTTTCACTAGCTAAAGGTCTGTCAAAATGTTGCACCTTAACCTATTCTACGGATTTGTTGTTTGGAAACCATGGTTTGTGAGGGTCCTACTGTATGCATGGATCTGTGTATGTTTTACTAGCTAAAGGTCTGTGAAAATGTTGCACCTTAACCTATTCTACGGATTTGTTGTTTGGAAACCATGGTTTGAACCCAGACTAAGTTAGATAAACCAACTCCTAATGAAATCAATGGGACAAGTTTTGTTATGAACGGTTGATTTCAACGAGATCTAATCTCAGCTGACCTAGTCTGGCTCCACTCCTATAGTTCTTTCCCCTTCTTGATGATCATGTTTTGAGATGGGCATGAATCAAAAAAATGGCGACTCATTTCTATTCTTCATTCGTCAAGGTTGACTAATTACAAATAACCATTTTTCCTGACAAATTGATTTGTTTATTTATTTTTATTTTTTTATTTATTTATTGCATTTAGACATAGTCTACTCTGTTGATTCCTTTTGCCTTTAAAACCCTATAAAATGGCCCTCCATGCACCTAGAGAACCAAAATCATAGAGAAGCTGGAATTCTACATTGCAAACCCTCCAAGTGCGGTGAAGATTGAGTTTTGGACATCAGAGTTATATACCCATGAAATGGGTCCCCCCAGGAAAGTGCCCTTTAGCAGCTGGCTTGGAGAAACCTAACCTTCACCACTTGAAGGAGGAGAGTCAGGGGAAGCTTCTCTGTGATTTTGGTGTCTCTAAGTGCCTGGAGGGGAGGCCCTTTATAGTCTCATGAATCAAGAAATTACAAAATGCTAAAAATTAATTGATTCATATTCATTGGCGGCCATCAATTTGGACAAATATGAATCAACGAATTAGCAATTTTTGACAAACTTTGCAATTCATTTTTTAAATTTGTGCCCATCTCTAATCATATTGTATAGCACAATCTTCTACATGTCCACTCAGAAGTACAGGGCCAGCCCAAGATCTTTTGCTGCCTGAGGCAAGGAACAAAATGACATCTCATTCATTTCTTGTACAGAAATTGACTAGCCTGGGCCTTCCATCAGCCCTGGCCATCCACCACTACACCACGTGCTAGTTTAGTGTAATGACAGACTGTGTGGAACACATAGTTTAGTGCTCCAAAGAGGAGAATAGCTCGGAGGATGAGGAAGTACAGTTGGGGAGATGGACACTGCTACCTCCAATCATCTGCTGCCTGATGCCACTGTCTGACTCTGTCTAATGGCAGGGCAGGGCTGTTACCGACTGAGAACAGTGGAAGCTTAATTCTAAGTTCAGCGTGCTTATTACTGAACTCCTTTACATACTGTTGGGCTTTATTTACATTTGTTGTTTTATAAACTGTATTTACACAAGAAGAGCCCTGATGGATGCATGATTTTTGCTACTGCAGGCTACTGCTCTGGGCTTGTCTTCTGGGCAAGGGTAAGGTTTTGACTGATCATTCTTTTGCCAATCTTTTACCTTCTCTCCCAGGTCAACCTTGGTGAAAGTGAAGGTCTGGAGGTGGGTGTTGGAGGCCCGGATGCTTGGAGCGATATTCTCTACCAGCAGCTTCTCCATGTACTGACCAAAGAAGGGCCAAGCCTGGGCCAGAATCTACCACACAGCAAATAAGAGAGAAAGTTATGTTAGTGTTGCACAACAATCACACCTGGAAAGAACCAGTGAAGTGCCCTGCTTCTCACCTTATTGAGCCACTCTGCTTTCTCGACATCTGGGAAACTGACCTACATAAAGGGGGGGAAAAAAGACAAGAAAATAAATATAAATTAGCTACAGTGATATGGGGCCTACAACTGTGAACATCTGGACATGCACGCACACACACAGTCCTCTACCAATCCTGTCAAATGTGTTCAGTAAAAGTGACCACCATGTTCTACAATTCTGTAACAGAAAAGTGGTACTATTTTTAAGTATGTGCCTCATGTCTCCCCAATATTAACCGCGTGCTGAGCAATATTCACTGACTGCTTGGCAAATCACTGACCAAAGTCTAAACCCATTAAGAGAAAAGAAGGGAAATGACACTGAAGATTGGAAACCTAAATGGTTTTACTTGGGACAAAACTCCCCTTAAATTCCATGGAGCCAACCTCATGCCTTAGTGACCTTGAACCCTTATAGCCCATGAGGTTCCCCTTAAGCACCCACACCCAAAATCACACACCGTAGGTGCAAAGGGCTGGTCCTGCTTAGACTGGAAGCCATTCTACACAAACACCAGGGATTTCATGATCCTGAAACAAGCGGCAGGGTTATCAGGGGAAGATAAAGCTGATTACAGGCCCTGAATGGAAGGCAGATTCCAAGGGGACCAGGAGTCCGGCTCATATCCTTGGAGCACAGAGACTGGGCTGCTTCGTCATTGTCCATCGGCACATCAGCTGTCTGGTGAAGCAATTCTCTCTCTGTCTGTACTTTCTTCATCTGCTGATTGAGAGCAGAGGTAAGGGGGCCAAGGGGAGGCTGTCAACGATGTAGCTGGGGGATGACTGGGTGACATGAGAAAAGCAGCTGATGTTCAACAGCATAAGCCACGAGTTAGCAAGAGCACCACACCCTTCCTGTTCTCCAAAAAAGCACGCCGCCGGTAGGTTGAGCAGAGCTGCCAGTTTCACAGAGAAGATACAGCTCTCTCCTAGATCTAGCTAAGAAGCTGTTACGTGCACATGCACGGGGAGGTGGCAGCAAGGAGGAGAGCATCTATCTGGCAGGACTTCAGATTTGTCCTAGTTTCCATTGATTGCTCCTTTCACCAATGAATACACACACACAAACACACAAATGTATGTGCGTCTATGAGAGATGGGGGATCAAGTGTACACATATATGAGCAAATTATTTGAGAATTAATTAATTGAGAATCCATTTAGGCTAGATCTCCTATCCACTGTATAGTATACCCGGGAGGAAGTCCTGCTGAAGGTTATCTCTGAGTTGGCATGCAGAGGACTTGGTTATTATCCACCAAACTGCCACCCCCTCCAAACCCAAAATGCAGCGTTAAGTAAAACGATGATTCCTAAAGTCTCAGTGGTCCACGCAGAAGCCAACATGTTGACACTTTTTATGAAAATGAGTATTTTTTTGTTGGCGGCTTCTGTAACTGAAGTATCAGACAAGGACAAAATGTACCCCTTTCGTGGAAGCGGATGTCAGTTCAGTTCTGATAACACAACTTTCTGAGGAAAGATACAGATACCAATGAGATGGGCTGACAGGAGGAAGAGTCAAGGTTTCAGTCTGAGTCAGCAGCAGGAGGACTTGACAGAGCAAAACTATACATATTCATAAAAGCAGACGACATGATGTTTTAGATATACATGCTAAGGAGAGGTTTTACAGAGATGCCCCTTGGTCCAAAGCCTACGAGGTACAACTGTGTGTCTTGTGTGGGGGAATATCTATAACCCAAGGGATGAGTCTTGGGACCAAAAGAAGACTCCAGCTCCCCCTTTAATGGCCTCCACAAAATATTACTCTTTCCCTCATTTTGCAAAGCATTAGGAGTTTAGCTGTCTCTCTGGCCATTATGCTCCCTACAGGGTGCTTCTCAGGAAACTACAGTGCCCCTAATCCTTTGCAGTGCCACACAGATTAGCTCTGCCCAGCCAGTTCCTCCCTCATTAGATAGCCTCAAAAAACTCAGAAATAGAGGGGTTTTTTATCATTTATGAAGCAGCTGTAAGTTACATCGAACACATAAAAGGACTTCTTTTTTTGTGGGTGGGTGGGGGAACAAACCCCTCAGCATTCTGGTGAAGGCCATTCCAGCAGACCTCTGGGTGCAGTGGTCCAAAAAAAAAGTCCCAACAAAAGTCCCATCCCTAGTTTAGGCACATGGGAGCAATTATCCTATGTGATGAAATTTCAAGATGCCAGAGAGATCAATAGGATTTGCAGTGTGTATGTGCTTAAAAAGAGAATATGAAGTCTTAACTCTTTAAAGACAAAGGAAGATTGAAAAGCCTGTTTTGTCTTACCTTCTGTTCCCACAGTTGCCTGCCAAAATACTACTGACAGCTTAGAAATGGGGCAACAGCACCCTCCTGTTCTTTCCCAGCTACCTAGGATCAATCATAACCGGGAGCCTTTTTAAACTGTGCAAGGTGGTGGCCATCGCTTACTGCTATTTCAGGATGCCTGTCTTTTTGTGTTTGACCTTCACTCCTCCCTCCCTTCTCTATCTCTCCACATAGTCACTCATTTTTAAAAGTCTGTTTTAAAAAAACAAACAAACAGCTGGCCCATGGGAGCAGAAAAGATTCCTTGGCACAGACTGTGGGTCACCTTGGAGAAGAAATTGGGATGAGGATGGTTTCGGCTCAGGAAGCACAAATCTCTATCTAGTGCTGTAAATCAAGTAAGAATAGTTTCAGGAAAAGAAAATCAAGCAGGCCGATGTCAACTTTTCCTTCCTGCAATGGAAAGAGCAGAACTTGGAAAGGTTACTTTTTGGAATCATCGTTCCCATAATGCCCAGGCACCACTATGGCTTGTAGGTTCTAAGAGTTTGGTATGGTTTTTTTTTTTAATGTTTTTTCAAAAACACACCCTGTTAAATGACAAAGATGGAAATGTCTTGTCAGTAGCCACAGAGAAATAAAGATGTACAAGCCTAACACTTGAAAAACGTTAAGATTTTTGTAACTATTTTGTACCTATTATAATAATGGCCAAAATCCTGTTGCTTAGTGTAGTAAATTACACTAGAGTGGACTCATTGAATCAATGGAGCCTATCGAGGATTTGACTCACCAAATCCCCACTGTTTCAATGGGACTACTCCAGTGCAATTTACTACATTAAGCAACAGGATTTTGCCCAATATTTGGCCACTGAGAGAACGCAGAACTTCCCTGCCTGCAAGGGAATAGACTGAAGTTAAATAGATTTTTAAAACCAAGTATATGGTAAAGCTCTTTCAGACAAATTATGAAATGCACAGAGACACAAGGAACTGAAATTTCGGGGGCAGAAAGATAACACTAGTGAGTATCGGTGTAATAGGGAAACTTGGAAGTACAGATGCTCATCATAACTCTCCCCACACCACATCAAAGCCCTAAAATGCAGCTGGATTGAATCTTATCAAGCAATAAATTCTAGCGGTTTCAGGTTCTACTGGGACCAGTGTTTTGTAAGGTTAATGCTTCTTAAGTACCTGTTCAAGACTAATCCACCCTCAAGCACTGTGCATTACAACATGGTAGCTTAACAAAATACACTGGTCTTGGAAAAATCAATTTCTCTACCATGTACTATGAAGTTTGCAGCTAAGTTGCCGAGGGAAAAAAAAGCCTGAAAAGTGTGGCAGACAAAGCCATTGTTGCTGTTACTCAGAAAGTCTCAGGGCTTCAGCTTGATGAGCCAGGCTGCACTACGCTGGCAGAAGATAAACCCTGAAGCCACACAGCTGCTTTTCTGCAGCCACCTGCCCCCTGCTTCCACACAAGCAGGCTATCCATGCCTGCATTGCACCTGGTCCACTGCAGCTGGCTTCCTGCGGTTAAACTGTCATGGTAACAAACACACACAAGACTGAGCAACAACTGGTAGGGCCCCACAATCCTCACCGCCTCAGCTAGAAAACCTACAGCTCATTCAAATGAAAGTGGCCAGGTTTTCCTCTTCTAGTTAGTCTCTTGTCTCACCCTAAATTTTGGCTTATATGCTAAAATCCAAATGAAGGTGATACATTTGTTAGGCAGGTTTTAAAAAGGAATTTTTAAAAAGTGCAAACGCCCAGAAATCCTGTGCAAGCTTTCAAGAAAATTACCTCTTCATCAGGAGAGACATAAAAAACTCATGGGGTGGGACTCAAGTCCTTCTTTCCCACCTATTTTTTCAAGAAGTAAAGCCAGAGGGAAATGGTAGACAAAGAAATGGGTCTCATCCAGTGATCACTGTTCTAATACGGGCTAGCACACAGCCTCTCTCTGCGGTGGGAGGTTAGAAATTCTGCACCTTTATCTTGGACAATATAAGTCAAAGCTGCATCTATTTTGTTAGGGCACACTCTGCTCACTTTTCATAACAGAAATATTATTTTTGACAGCTTGCAGAATGCTTTGGCACACCTTGTTTACCTTCTTTTTTGTTGTTGTTGGCCTCCCTTCTTGAACACAGCTATTCCCACTTTTATTAAGATTGTACACTAGATAAGGAGTACGAAAAGGCTGTATATTGTCCCCCGGCTTATTTAACTTATATGCAGAGTCACATCATGCAAAAGGCTGGACTGGAGGAATCCCAAGCCGGAATCAAGATTGCCGGAAGAAATATCAACAACCTCAGATATGCAGATGATACCACTCTGATAGCAGAAAGTGAGGAGGAATTAAGGAACCTTGTAATGAGGGTGAAAGAGGAGAGTGCAAAAAACAGCCTGAAACTCAACATCAAAAAAACTAAGATCATGGCTGCTGGTCCTATCACCTCCTGGGAAATAGAAGGGGAAGATATGGAGGCGGTGACAGATTTTATTTTCTTTGGCTCCATGATCACTGCAGATGGAGACAGCAGCCACGAAATTAAAAGACGCCTGCTTCTGGGGAGGAAAGCAATGACAAACCTTGACAGCATCTTAAAAAGCAGAGACATCACTTTGCCAACAAAAGTCCGAATAGCCAAAGCTATGGTTTTTCCTGTAGTGATATGGAAGTGAGAGCTGGACCATAAAGAAGGCTGACCGCCGAAGAATTGATGCTTTTGAATTGTGGTG